GTGTGTGTGTGTGTGTGTGTGTGTGTGTGTGTGTGTGTGTGTGTGTGAGTGTGAGTGTGTGTGAGTGTGTGTGTGTGTGTGAGTGAGAGATATCAATAAACAGAGATGTTCAGAGAAACAGAAGTATTTATTACACTTGAAAAAAAGAGTGAAACTGGTCACATGGTTTGGCACGTTAAAAAACAGAGTGACATCAGAGTCTGGTCCCAGCAGAGATGGATGGATGGGGGGGGGGGGGGTCACCTGCAGCAGACTGAATTTGATTGGTCCCAGCTGTTCAAAGGAGGAGGAGCTTCTACATGTCGGCTGTGTCGATCTGAACGTAGAGCTGTCGAACTCCAGCCTGAAGAGAGACAGACAGTCAGTACAAGTACTACACAGTACAACACAGTACACGTAGTACAACACAGACAGCTAGTCCAATACAAGTACTACAATGTAGTGCGTTCAGGTACCCGTGTGAAGACGCGCTATGGTGCGTTCAGGTACCTGTGTGAAGACGTGGTGGGTCTGGCTGAGGATCCAGCGGCGGTCGGCGTCGGGGGCCACCAGCAGCTTTAACGTTCCGATGTAAACGTCCGTACACAGAGTCCAGAAGTGAGGGTCCTGCAGGTTGTAGACTCCCTGCAGCTGCTGCACCTGAACACAACACAATACACCAAGAATTAGACTGGTCCCCGACGATGACGTCACCATCTATTGATCGGTGTTCTGATGAGATTTGATCGATTTGCCGACACACAGATCAAAAAAACAAGTGATATTTTTAAATGTTATCAACATTAACATCAAGTTCGATGATTATTATTATAAGTCTAGATCAGGACCAGCCAATCGGAGGCAGAGGACGGCGGGTCTTATGGTGTGGGCGGGGCCTGTACTCACCCTCTGGTAACACTCGGGCAGCACGTGGTCCAGTGAAGGAGGCGTTCGCTGCATCAGGATCCCGATGGACTCTCTGAGTAATGGCACCACGCTGAGGATAAGAGGTCCAGAGAGACGGACTGAGCATGTGTGAAAACTATATACATGTACACACACATCTAAATATATATATACACACACATCTAAAACTGAACATACTTCAGTACTTACTACTGTCACTACTACTATTATACATATAAATATACATATATATTTACATATACTGTATATTAGTTCTGGGCAATGATTACAATGTTTAATTGCGATTAATCTCATTGTTATGCGCAAGATTCAATAATGAATTCAAAAGTAGTGTATTGTGCACTTTTATTTTGAAAGTGCTGCTACATGAAAGTGCTGCTATATGCGTATTATACATATTACAAACAAAACACTTTAAAAACTCTAAAACAATCATTCAAAGGAATCATTCCTTTCTTTGGTATTGTGGTCAGACACATATGCAACGCTGATTACCGTAATATGTGTGGTATTTGTTATAAATGTACGTTGGTACATAGAGGGTGATAAGAAGCTGTACATGGAGGGACTTAGGACCCAGGGGAATGTAGGTGAAGCATGGAACCTGTAGTCTGTAGCGTGGCAGTAACCTGCATGAGGAAGTTATGCTAATAAAGAGTTGAGTTAAGAGCAGTTTGTTCTCTCGTGCTTATATGTTCATTTAAAAACACCACAATATGTCTTTTGATATTTTCACGATTGATCCTGTAACGAGACGAGAGATTTGATTTTTGGAAACTTTTATTTTCTTAAATCATGAAAAAACAAAAAAAACATTGCCATAGCAATAAATTCGACACAAATAAACAAAACAAAACAAAAAACAATGAAAACAGTTTCTCTTCATAATATTTTCAAGGAGCGTTGAATATTAGTTCATCTCCAGACACACAACATTGTGCTTCATTGTTGCACCGTTTCTCCATGAATCCTGCATGTTGTTCATGTTCAGGTTCTGTCTCCTCAAAGCATCGGCTCTCACACTCTTTCTCTGTGTGGAGGTCCAAGAGTTCAGACTCTGTTTCACTGAATGATGGTCCTGAGACCCCATTCAGCTCTGGAATAAATCCTTGATCTGGAAATAGATCTATAGAATCAGGAGCTTCCTCTCCTCTGTCGTCCTCCATCAGTCTCTCCTCCAACCTGCTCAGAATCCTCCTGCTCTGCCAGATGGAAATCAGCCCAAGTAGATAAGCCATTGCAGGTGCGTCTCTCAGTCCAGGAACATCTACCTCCACCAGTGTCCTCAGGGTGGTGGTCCCAGAGGAGCACAGCATGCTGCTCAGACCTGGAGTCGTGCGGTCCTGGATGTCCATCTTGGCTCCGTTCACCAGAGGTTCCTGAAGCAGCCAGTGTTGTGAGCACGTGGGCTCTGGTCTCTTATTCTCCCTTAGCTCCATCATTGTTCAGCTCTTTCTTTAATATCTGAACTGTTTTTTTCAGTCTGAAGCCTTCTTCCTCTGTGAGACCTCCTCTGTCTTTACTGCTCATATGTGATCTGACAGAGTTGGAGAGCTTCTCTTTGTCAGAGAAGTAGTCCTCCACTTTAGCTCCTCTTACATTTTTACTCCTCAGCAGATAACTCTTTATTTCCTCCACACTGTAGCCTTCAGAGCTCTTACAACTGCCAGCCCTGCACTCAGAGAGCTCACTGTCAGCAGCAGCATCCTCCTCCAGACTGGACTCAGAGTCCTCTTCCAGACTGGACTCACACTCAGCTGCTCCTCTACTTCCTTTTGTTGCCACTTTTTTGGCTTGTGAGTCTCCACTGTCTCCTTCCTTTTTCCTCTTCAGCTGAGGGGCTTTGAGCTGCTCCTCGTCTCCCTCCATGTCCACCTCACTACCTGTCTCCACCTGTCCTCCAGTACTCTCCCTCGCCTGCTGGGCCCCACTTGTCTCCTCCAGCCTCATCTCCTGGGCCCCACTTGTCTCCTCCACCCTCACCTCCTGGACCCCACTTGTCTCCTCCACCCTCGCCTGCTGGACCCCACTTGTCTCCTCCAGCCTCATCTCCTGGACCCCACTTGTCTCCTCCAGCCTCATCTCCTGGACCCCACTTGTCTCCTCCAGCCTCACCTCCGACGGGGCCCCACTTGTCTCCTCTACCCTCACCTCCGGGGCCCCACTTGTCCCCTCCACCCTCACCTCCTGGGCCCCACTTGTCCCCTCCACCCTCACCTCCTGGGCCCCACTTGTCCCCTCCACCCTCACCTCCTGGGCCCCACTTGTCTCCTCCACCCTCACCTCCTGGACCCCACTTGTCTCCTCCACCCTCAACTTTATACGTACATTTATCTGATCACAGACACAAAAGTCTTCTTCTCTTTATGCTACCAGTGTGACTTCCTGTTCTCACCGTGTCTCAGCAGACCAGCAGGAGTACACTGTAGTACTGCTGTGGTACTAGAGTAGTACTGCTACAGTAGTACTACAGTAGTACTGCTGCAGTGGCGGACTCACCTGAAGGGCAGGTAGGAGGCGTTGGAACCAGACGTCAGAGCTCTGTAAGCTTCTTCTGGAGTTTTCTTCAGGTAGATCACCTGATAGAGACACAGGTAAACAGTGACTCAGCTGGATTCAGTCTTTATGCTAAGCTAGGCTAAACATGACGCATGACACAGGAACACGAGCCTGGACGTTTTGAACTCAACTCTCAACAACTGTGTGACGGCGGGCTGTCCGTTCCTTACAGCTGCTCCTGAACGCAGCAGACGTAAAAAGGTGCTAAACATGACACGATATCAAACATTGAGATTTATTACCTATTTTCATCTGCAAATTATGCAATTTGTCAACATGTTTTATTTAATAAGATACAGTTTAAATCTCACTTCAGTTCAGTTCTCACATGTGAATGCAGCTCTACTCTTCATCACGATGATGCTGTAACTCAGAGGTGATGAAGGTGACCCAGCTCTACTCTT